TCCTCCCTCCCTCCTTCCTAGAGATTGAACCTGGGGCCTTCATATTGCTAAGCATGCACTGTACCTCTGAACCACATCCTCAGCCCAAGGGACTTAATTCTTTCCCAGGCACTGCTCCTCCTGTGGCACACTTGCTCTGGACAGTCACTCCCAGAATCACCCCTATTAGAGCAGACCTTTTCTAAAGAAGTTGGAAGGGGAATAGGCAAGGCTGGGAGCAGAAGGAAGGGGTGGTACATGGCCCTGGCTCTGGAGTACTGGGTTTTGGAACTGGGCCTGGTATCCACTGGCTACACCTAACTAGCATTTCTGCCGCGCGCGCGCGCTCGTGTGTGTGTGTGTGCGCGCGCGCGTGTGTTTCAGCCAGAATGAAGGTGGGTTTTCAGTATTTCTTCCAGAATTGAGGCATCCTTTGGACCAGAAATGAAGGGTCCAAAGGCCTGGGGAGGGAGAAAATATTTTTGTTGGTTCTCTGTTGCCTGCAGATAAAAATCCATACTCCTTAGCTTGAAACACAGAGTCCCTGATCTGGCCCCAGCCTGCTTGTCTAGCACCATTCTTTTTCCTTCCATTTTTAGGCATGAGAGGCCCTTTCAGTGACACTGGGCCCATGTTCATGCTGTTTTCTCTGCTTGGAATGCCTTTTCCTGGCCTCCTTGCTTGGTATGTTCTTGCTGAAACTTCATTCCTGTTTGTGTTTTCTGATAGAGACCCAACTTCCATCCTTAATGCAGGCAACTGTATAGTATCTCTGGCATACATTTTAAGTAATATTCTTACTTGTGTTACTTTTTTGTGGCTTGTCTTTTAACCCTAATTTTTTGCTTTGCTTGTTTTGGTTTTGTCTTTTGAAACAAGGTCTCACTATGTAGTTCACATTGGCCTTGAACTCACTATGTAGCTCAAGCTGGCCTTGAGCTCATGGTGATTCTCCTGCCTCAGCCTCCCAAGTGCTGGGATTACAGGGATATGCTACCACATCTGGCCCATTTTTTTTTTTTTTTGGTACTGGGGTCGAACTTGGGTCCTTGCGCTTTCGAGGCAGGCAGTGCAACCACTGAGCTAAATCCCTGGCCCAATCTGGCCTATTTTTAACCCTGTTTTAATTTGTCCAAATTTTTTAATTTGCTTTTTGTGTTAATCCAGTGCAAGCCTTTTTGTGTCTTTTTGCGTATTTAACAGGATTATAAATATGCTTATGGCTCACAACTTAGGCCAGATGCCACTCAATTGCTTTGTCTTCTTCCTACTCTCTTTAGTGATATTTCTGAAAAAGCATTTAACACAGTATAATTTTTCAGTTTACATGTCTGTCTTCCTCCAGCTGAACTATGTGCTCCTACAGGGCAGGCACCATGTGGCATTCATCTCTGTACCCCCAGCATCTAGCAGTACTGGCATGTAGTAGGCACTCAAGAAATGTGTGTTGAATGAAGGATGCCTGTGCCAAGCAACTGGACTTTACTACTTTCCTGACCCTTGCTCCTATGACACACCTCCTCCTGGCTGCCACTGTCACCCCTTCATAGCAGAACTTCTCTAGGGAACCTGGAAGGGAAACAGGTGAGGCTGAGAGGTAGAGACAGGGAAAACCGGGAGCCTTGGAACTTCTGGGGTTTGGGCATTGATTGGTGTCTAGGGGCAGGAATGGGCTGGGCTGGAAGGAGGCATTTCCTTGGCTGATGGGAAATGACTGGGGATTGGGGCTGGTTCCTTTGCAGCTATGGCCAAAGACATCCTTGGTGAAGCCGGGTTGCACTTTGATGAGCTGAATAAGCTACGGGTGTTGGACCCAGAGGTTACCCAGCAGACCACAGAGCTCAAGGAAGAGTGCAAGGACTTTGTGGACAGTAAGTATCTTGGGGGAGACATATCATTCAGCTTTGATCACTTCCGACTGCCTGCACCCACCCAGCCCCTGCCTGCAACTCTTGACCCTGCCAGAATGGAGCTGGTGACTCCCTGGAGGTTGAGTCTGACCTCTGAATTTCCACGTACCACCCATCTTCCCTACCTGCCCTCTTCTGATGCTGTCCTGCAGTCCCATACAGCCAGAATTGGAACAGGAGAGTGTTTTTAGATCTTCAGTCTGACGTTCTCCCAGCTGAGCTATCTCGGCGGCCTGAGGAGAGTGTTTTTAGATATGCTATCTGTGATTTTTTTTTCCTTAAAAACCTTAAACTGCATGGGATAGGGCTGGGGATTTAGCTCAGTGGTTTCGCCGCCTGCTGCGCAAGCACAAGGACCCGAGTTCAATCCCCAGTACCAAAACAAAAACAAAAAAAAAACTGCATGAGATAGAACCATGGCTTGGGAGTAGAAAATGCAGTTACGTATTCTGACCTGATTTCTTAGTGGAAATAGTGTTCTCATGGCAGAATCTCCATTATTTGGAGTTAGAGGTGGTAACTAGTCTTTAGAAGCAGCTTACTTAACAAACGTAATGAAATCATGGGCTAGAAAACTCCAGGAAGTTGCCTGTTCCACTGCACAGGCACAAGCAAGGCCAGTGTCAGTGGACGGAGCTGGGTCTAGCTAGGATAAGTGATTTCTGAGCCTTCTGGGGCTTCCTAGGCTGTGGAGAGTTTGGTGAGAGGTTTCTTGGGTTCCATTGCCAGTCTTCTGTGACTGCTGTGTACTTGCTAGATCTTAGTTTCCATCGTACCAAAGCCATTAAAAATGTGAATGGAACATTTGGCACTTAAATGCTAGGTGCTCTTTACTCCAGTGACAGGTGGAAAGTTCCCACCCACACCTCTAATTGAAATCTAGCTGTGTGACTGGCTAGTTGAGGCCATGTATTCTGAGATAGTCCTTTTGGGAATTCCGCTTTGTACTTCTGTCACTCCCGGGGAGGGAGGCTGGATTAGGGTCCATCAGGAGGATGGGTCTGCCCGGAGCCTGAGGTAACAGCAGGTGTCTGGCTCAGTGGTGATTCAAGATCCAGATGTCCTGGGTCTATCTCTGGGCACCTGACCACCCCCTCTAGGTGCACATCGAGGCCGGGAGACTTAAGCTAGAAGGCACCAAACTGTTTTGATATAAATTAGAAGGGGCAGTTAGTTCTGCTTACTGCTTCAAGGGAGTGCTGAAGGTGAGAAAATATTTTATTTTTTGTTCTTTCCCCAAAAGAAATTGGCCAGTTTCAGAAAATAGTTGGTGGCCTAATTGAGCTTGTTGACCAACTTGCAAAAGAAGCAGAAAATGAGAAGATGAAGGTAAAATCAACACGTCTCTTGGTCCGGGACCCTCATTCTCTAGCCTCTCATCCTCTGCTCTCTTGATTTGCTTGTGGATTCTCTTAATTAAAATAAGATTTTGACCATTTCTGGTCCAGTTTACCTACTAATCTTATATGCCAGTCTACTTTGTCATTACTTCCTTTGATCTTCACATCAGCATTGGTAGGTGGATTTCTCCTTTTACAATTCAAGAAATGAAGGCTTGCATGGTACAGATGTCTTAATGAAGTATACAAAGCTGAATGGTACCACCCAACAGGCCACTAAATACTTACAAACCTGGCTCTGGGAATACTCCTGGACCTGGTGGAGTTACAGGCCAGTTCTCACTTTGGGAGCAGAAGGTTAATCTTACTTCTGATTAAGCCCCAAAGCTATGGGGCAGCACTTTCTTTTCCCCTCTGGGTACTGACATAACCCTTAAACAGCCCTTCCCCACTTTGAGGGGTTAACATGTTCCCATTGGTTTGAACCATTCATGATACATGCATGAGCTATTGGGCAGCTTGTAACACTGGTGGTACAAACAGACCTGATCACTTTTTATCAGTCTTTTTACTAATAAAATAAAAAGCTGCCCAATAGGAAGGAAATTGTGCATGTACCACCAGTGGTTCAAGCTGCCTGGCAGGGAGATGTATGAATTATGGCGCCACTGTGACCATGTTAATGAAACCACGACCTTCTCTGGCAACACTGTGTTTCTTAGGCCATTGGTGCTCGGAACCTGCTCAAATCTATAGCAAAGCAGAGAGAAGCCCAACAACAGCAACTTCAAGCACTAATAGCAGAAAAGAAAATGCAGCTAGAAAGGTAAGTCATGATGTAAACCAAGTTTACTCCACTTAAAATTCTGCTTTTCCTTGAATGATCACTTCATCTTTATTCATCCTTTTCCTAGGAATAGCATCTCACTTAATTTTCAGATTTAAAAAATAAAATTACATTTGATGGGAAGGAAAACTGGTTAATATCAAACACCTTCTAATTGTACCTTAAGCATGAAAGTTCAGATAGCAAGAGCCCACAGCTGGCTGGCCCTTGACAGGTGACCTTCTCAGGGCTGGGAGATTTCTCATGAGTGGCCCTGGGTAGGGCTTTACCTCTGTCCTATTTCTCTTTCTTGTCTTCACTAACTTCATTCTGAACTTACACCATTTCCTGGATTTATTTAAAGCTCTATATTCTCTAGAAGAATTAAGTCTGTGGTTTATTTCATCCTTTTCAGGGCTTCAACAATTTTGTTTTTCAGGTATCGAGTTGAATATGAAGCTTTGTGTAAAGTAGAAGCAGAACAAAATGAATTTATCGACCAATTTATTTTTCAGAAATGAACTGAAAATTTCATTTTTATAGCAGGAAGGCACAAAAAAACCCCCCCAACCAACCCTAAAACCAAAAAACCTCTGCCTTTCCAGTGACTTGACTGCTGACCTCAGTATGTCATGAAACAGTGTAAAGAGTGAGCCCCCGAAGGCAGTAATGCAAGTCTGGGGGAGCTGGTGTTAAACATCAGTGCACAGCCACCGCCAGTGGCCACACAGGGCAGGTCCTCATCTCTTGCATTCTTAGTATGAACTAAGCAGTCTGTAAACTTTGCTCTTTTTTGTAAATTCACAATACTTTGGAAGGAAAAGCAATAAATTATCATTTTCAAATGGTTTGATCTTTCTTCCCCCAGTGCCTTGCAGTATGCTTAACCCCTTTCAATAGAATCCTGGATGTTCTAGCCCCTTGTCCACAAAACAAACCAGGGAGTGGCCACAGCTACCTTTATTTGGACCAGACACAGACAAGTCAAACTAGTACCAACAATCATACCAATATGGTTTCTGAGCAAAAAGGGCAAAAACAGAGAATTGATGGGAACCTCTTGTCTTCCATCTTTTAGGAATGGCCTCAAATATTTGGTTTCAGAAAAGCTAAGGGAACAACCAAGCACTAGCATCCAGAGACCCTTGTATGTACACACTGGGCTGGTCATGGCCAGCAACTCCACTTCTGACAAGATAGGAATGATTAGACTGTATCAAGATGAATTAAGTTATCCATCAGGGAGCATACTTCCAGGTCAAGCTTGAGATACCAGATTTCAAGTAAAGAAAATTATCTCAGGTGGTCTCTAAAAATAGGGAAGACTAAGATTTTGAAATATTATAAGTGACTTAAAAAAAATCTCTTGGGATGACTGGTTTAAGATACAACTAAAACACCTTCCAGTTTAACCTACTTCTGACTGAAAGTCATGCTAGGGCTAACCCTTAAGGTTTAAACCTCTCTTGCATAGTTCCCTTTTCCCCCCAGGGGTGAGAAGTAGGGGCAACAAAAATATGACAGTTATTAATGACTACTAAAGAAGTACAGTCCCTACTTTTAAAATGGCCTGAAACATTCCACTTTTCACTTTGTTGATTGGTGGCATCTATAGAGAATCATAGTCAAGGGCTTAGACATGGGTGTTCATACTGTAATGATTCAAGTATGTCAAACAGGCCATGTTTTATGGAAAGTTACCCAGTTTGTGGTCTGGTCCTGCATTTGTTAATCCTGCAATTGATCAATCACCTCATTCCTATAAGCTGGCCCACAGGCCCCCACCTCTGCTAACTGGACACGACCCTTGCCACCACCTTGGTCTTGAATACTGCTGGTAGTATTTTCAAATGCCATTGAAGCCATTGATTCAAAAGAGTTTTTCTGTGTTGGGTCCAAAAGATGCCCCAGTGGGCACCTCTCTTCTTGGCCAGTGGTTATTTCCTCATTTTTTCTTTCTTTTATCCTCATGATTGTAGTAAGGGTTCCACAACATGAAGAGGAGAAGTGTAAGAGGGATAAGTAAGTAAGGGGCATAGATGCTTATGAGGGTGAGTCGTTCACTGAAAGTCTGAGGTCCTTGTCCTTTGAAATGACTGGCTTTGGAGAAATCCTCAAGTAGAAAGGAGGCAAGTATTGGAATTAAAGTTGTCATTGTGTGAACTGAGTAGATGATGGCGGGGGTGCGGATCCACCTGCAGCTTCCTGCAGTAGAGGGAGAAGATGGGTCTGTTCATGGGACCATCTGGGACATCCCTACCCCGCCCTTTCAGTTGAATTATTCTATCCCCCTGTAAGCAGAGACTCAAAACAAACAGAAAACTGGATGTTCTACTGCCTAGCATGCAAACTTCTGTGGGAACTGGAATCCCACCTCACTGCCAAAGAACCAAGGTAGGGTTAGAGTATAACTGAGAAAAATCATTGGCAGTAAAACTGCCACCAGTGTGTGGGCTAAAATGCAAGGGGAGGGGAATATCTGGCAGCATCTGTCTGTGAAGTAATCAGATGTGGGCATGAGCATGGGCATGGGTCCAGTGACTCTTGTAGATGCCAGTATGGAATGAGCATTTTCAGCTGTAGGAGCTTAGTTACCAAGGATGGAGGTATGGCCACCTTTATAAAAGCATTAAATATATGTGACATGAAGGAAGAATTTTTAAATGAGAAACCTTTTAGGGATTAGCTGGATGCTACTGCTTATTAATTTTTTTTTTTTTTTTTTGGTACCGGGGATCGAACTTGGGACCTTGAGCTTGCAAGGCAGGCAGCAGAACCACTGAGCTAAATCCCCGGCCCTTGATGCTACTGCTTATAAGTCAACATAGTACTATCCAAAGCAGGAAAATAAATCCAACAATAAAAGAAATTCTATATGTGTTGAGGGGGAGAGGGATAGGGCAATAAGCTCTTCTCTTGAGTGGCCGCAGGTTTCATGTGTATGGGATTCCAGGCGATTGAGGCAGCTAGGCGGCCCAACTGACCAGGCACTAGCCTTAGCCACACTGATGTCCCTTTACTGGGTCCTGTGGCACCCTCAAGCAAACTATAGGGACTGCTCCCCTTTCCCTTGGAGATACTTTTCCCAAAGATTTCCAGGACCTGATTTCTAAGTGAAAATGGGGTCTTCCCACTATTTACCAACCTTTGAAAAAGGCATATGCTGCAATGGGAAAGAAAGGCAGCTGAAATAGAAGCTCACAGAACAGAAACGATGTAAACCACACTGGGCGATCTTCCATCAGATAGTCTTTGAACTCTGCAGAATACCACTTCAGCAGATTTCTAACCTGAAAAATGAGAATGAGCATGATGAATCACAGTGGCCTGGCCAGGACTGGCTCAGCAGCTTCTGATGATACTTGGATAGAGTGTCTACCACCCAGCCCCCTAAGCAGCACATAGCACACCTAGCTGGTCACTGAATAGAAACTCACTTGCTCTAAATCAAATGTTACCTTCAGTATGAAGTTTTCTTCAACTTTCAGTCCCTTCTTTGTACTACCCAGCATTTGTTCACAACTCCATGATGACACAAATCCAGATGTGTTGCCCACTGTCCAGCAACATTAAGTATCTAGCACTTAGTAGGCATTCAGATGTTTGAGAATGTGCCATTTCTGCTTTGTAAGGAAATGACAAATGTAAAAACCATCCCAACATTTTCTCTATTGCAACAATTGTACATCCAACTCCAAGGCCATATTCCCTCAGAGAGAAAAATAAATTGAGGGCCAGGGATTTAGCCCAGTGGTGCCACGCCTGCCTTGTAAGTGCAAAGTCCTGAGTTCAGTCCCTGGTACTGCAAAACAAACAAACAAACAAAAATAAATTGAATTTCCTATATTTGATGGGGAGGGTGGGTGGTGGTTAAGGGGGCAAGTAAATCTAACCTCTGTGGATATATAGCATATTTTGTATTTTTATTAATATATATTAGTTGTGCATATTAACGGGATACAATATATTCCATACATGCATACCACATATATTGATCATAATTAACCATCCCTGCCGGTGCATCTTGTGGAGATGTAAACTTTGGATACTTTTGACTCTAATTTGCAAATAAGTTATTTATTATTTTGGTTTTGGTTTTTTAAGACAGAGTCTGGCTATGTAGCCCGGGCTGGCTTCAACTTCATAGTGCTCTTCCTACCTCAGGGCCCTGAGTGTTGGGATGACAAGTGTGCACCACTGTGCCTGGCAATAGTCATTTGTAAGTCCTCTAATTTTTTTTTTTGGTACCGGGGATCAAACTCAGGTCCTTGCGCTTGCGCAGCAGGTGGCGAAACCACTGAGTTAAATCCCTGGCCCAAGCCCTCTAATTCTAATTTTTGTTTTTTGGTACTGGGGATTGAACTCAGGACCTTGCGCTTGCCAGGCAGGCATGGCACCACTGGGCTAAATCCCCAGCTCTTTTAATTTTTTTTTTTATTTTTTAAGGAGACTGGGAGGATATTTGTTGAAGAACGAACTGCTCCAAACTAGATTCTAGGCTATAGCAATGCTAGCTTGAGTTAGCAGTTTCAGCTCTAGCTTGGGCTTGCATCCTTGTAATTACCCTGTCAAAAAAAGAATTCAGGGGCTAGGGATTTAGCTCAGTGGTTTTCCCACCTGCTGCGCAAGCTCAAGGACCAAAGTTCAATCTCCGTACCAAAAAACAAGGATGCAGATCAGAGTTGCTGTGGCTACATGCGCAGGAAGGAGGCAGCAGAGCTTGAGGCTGCCCACTTCGTGCTTTCTAGGAGCCCAAAGCCTTGGAATATGCATTTTCCAGCACGCACAGCTGCAAAGCCAAATAAGTGTCTTGATATGATGAATAATGCAACTTCAAGAATTTATCTTATAATGGAAAGTCCAGGAATATTTTTCCTGTTAATTTTTTTTTTTTTTTGATACTGGGGATTAAACTCGGGACCTTGCGCTTTTGAGGCAGGCACTGGAACCACTGAGCTAAATCCCCAGCCTGGTTTTTTTTTTCCTGTTAATTTTTAATCAAAAGATAAAGGCTCATTGCTGTGAAACAGAGGCCTTGTTGCCATAAGGGAGCTTTAAGCAAATATCCAGAAGCAAACATTCTGTTAGCATAATATTAATTTCAGAGGATTCTGGCTAGATAACCAGTTTATTGACAAGTGATCTCTGATGTGTACTTGATGTGAAGTTTGAGTTCACGGCAATACTCTGCTTCCTCCTAAGCACTTTTCAGGACAGTAACATGGTAGGAAGAAATACACAAAAAGGGTGAGTCGGGCTGGGGATTTAGCTCAGTGGTTTCACTGCCTGCTGCGCAAGAGCAAGGACCTGAGTTCGATCCCCGGTACCAAAAAAGCAAAAAATAAACAAACAAAAAAATGGGCTGGGGATTTAGCTCAGTGGTTTCACCGCCTGCCTTGCAAGTGCAAGGGCCTGAGTTCGATCCCCGGTACCAAAAAAAAAACCAAACATTGAGTCAGTGCCCTTCTCTGGGGCTCTATTACCTCACCTTATGTAAAAGGAGCAATTTAGACTAAATGATTTTTTTTCTCTTTAGAAAGAGAAAAAGGGGTCGGGGGTTTAGCTCAGTGGTTCTACTGCCTGCCTTCCAAGCATGAGGACCCGAGTTCGATCCCCAGCACCAAAAAATAAAACAAAACAAAACAAAAAAGAAATTTTAGAAAGTACTAGATGAAACTACCTGCTTTAAGATTTACTGCAGGGGCCAGGGATTTAGCTCAGTGGTTCTGCCTCCTGCCTAGAAAGCGGAAGATCCCCCAGTACCAAAAAAAAAAAAAAAATTACTGCAAACCAGGCCTGGTGGTGCACACCTGTAATCCCAGCACTCGGGATTGAGGCAGGAGGATCACCTTGAATTTGAGACCACCCTGAACTACATAGTGAGACCCTGTCTCAACCTCCCTCCCCCGCAAAAAATTTTTGTGAACTTCACTTTTTATTCACCATGTAAACAATCTTTCAGATCTATTTACCTCCTAAATTAAGGTTAACTTGTAATATCTAAGGGCTGCAGGGTGAGTTTAGCAAAATTTAATTTCATCTCCAAGCTCTCCTAAGTCACATGATGATGGTGGAATGACTATCAACATCTCAGCATGTTTCCATTTATACCTAACTCACATTTGAGAACTCACCACTGTTACCCATTAAGATTTCTCTGCTGGAGATCTAGCTCATTGGCCCTGGGCCTGCTTGGCAAGTGCAAGGTCCTGAGTTCAATCCCCGGCACTGGGGGAAAAAAAAGATTCATCCGGCCAGGCTGGGGACACGCTGCTTGCTTAGCATGTATGAGGTCCTGGGTTTGATGCCCAGCACACACAAAACAAAAAACACAATAAACAAAGCACATCAGGCTTTCTAAAAGTAGGATCTTCCATGGATCTTGTATTTCTGTAACTTAAAACGAGGGCAGCCTGATTTTAGAGCCAGATGCTCATCTGTTTTTTCCTTTTCCAAACAGACACAATTTATCCAGCTGGAAATTATACTCTACAATGTTTCCCTTCTCTCTCCCAGGCTCTACCCTCAATTAAATCCTTTTAATATTTCCTAGTAAGAAGTTTTCCAAGTAATATGATTCAAACCAAGAAAAAAGTTTAATTTGCAAATTTTAGCCAAGCCATTATCTGATCTCCCACAATGCTTTTTAGTTTTAGGAAAAATTCCTTCTGTTTTTGGAGGAAAAGCAGATGTTAAATTTTGGTATTTTCTGAAGAGAAGCTGAGATTAAAAATTTTAATTTCCCCATAGAGAAGCAACAAACACCATTCCCCCTAAAGCAGTAAGAGTAAATAGGAACACAGGCCTTCCAGGCCAAGATGCCCCCTTGCTAATGCCTTCAATCATCAGCATCATCTCACATGTGGCTTCCGGCCAGATCCTACCCGGATTGGTCCGAAGCCTTTTCTAGTACATTTAAAAAAAACCCAGGGCCTTGTGCGTGCTAGGCACATAGTCCACTGCTGAGCTATACTCCCAGCCTCAAAACAAAATTTTTACAACAAAAAAATATATGTTTAAATGGGGACTTTATGATGATGGCACATTTTAGCTGGTTTTTGCTTGTTTTTGAGACAGGGTCCTGATAATGTAGCCCAGGCTGGCCTCGAATTCCGCACAGTCCTGCCTCAGTCTTCTGACTGAGGTGTGAGCCACCAGGCCTGGCATTAGCTGTATTTTTGAGTGGTAAGCAAGGAGGGAAAATATCAGTCAGAAAGGATAAAGAAGCCAACAGCTATTAAGTCTGGAATGGCTACGTGGAGTAAGGTGCTCATCTCCAAGTATTAAAGAGATGGTAAAAACACAGGGTTTGAAAACCAAAGATGGTGCAAGAGCAGGCTCTTCTTTCTTCAGGGCAACTAATGGCTAGTGCAGACCTGCAACAACCTCTTTAGGAGGAGTGTACTATCTGACCCTGTGTAATAACCAGGATAATGGCCCTAAAGACACCCATGTATCCCTAGAACCTAAGTCTATTACTTATTAGGCAAAAAGGACTCCACATGTGACAAGGCTTTGAAGTTGGGAGATTTTTCTTGGATTATATGGTGGGCCCTGCACATACTAAAGTGACTTTGTAAAACTGAGACAGAGGGAAATATGACTACAGAAGAGAAGGTGGCAATGCGATGATCTGAAGAGATTACTCTAAAGTAGTATGGCCACACAAGCCACAGTGGCAGCCACCAGGAACTCAAAGAGGGAAACAAGGTCTCCCATCGAACTATGGGAAGGAACCAGCCCTGGGAACACTCCAGATTAACTGAACTTCTGATCTCCAGACTTGTGAAAGAATAAATTTGGGTTAAGTCACTATACCTGTGATAATTTGTTAGATCAGCAAAAAAAAAAAAAAAAAAATCAGATCAGCAATAGGAAATTACACAATTTTTTAAAACCTTACATATGCTAGGCAAATGCCAAATGCTCCACTGCTGGGCAACATCCCCTACCCTACAACTTGTCTGTTGGAGCTTTTAAGAGGTTAAACTCTTACTTGGAAACTGAGGCTACGCACCTCTCTCGCCTTCCCTCTCTCTTTTTCTGGCCTACACTATATTTCTTTGAATGTGTACTTTTAAATTTAAACTTCTGCCTAATAAACCCTTTTTGTGCCTCTTAAACAAAACAAAGAAAAGGAAAGAAAAGAAAATCAAGGCTGCTGGGCCTGGTGGTGCATGTCTAATCCCAGTCCTCGTTGAGGCAGGAGGATCCCTGGGAGTCCAAGGCCAGCTTGAACTACATATGCAGACCCTGTCTCAAAAAAAAAAGAAAACTGAGGCTATAGAGCTTTGACTTGCAGCCCAGATATGCAGCCAGATCGTGACAAACCAAATCCTTGAGTGCAATACAGATCTCCTGCCAACACACTACCTACACTTTTCCCACGGAAAGGGAGATCTGAGGTCTTTTCAGTTATTTCAGGTTCTAGAAGCAAACAAAAACCAGGCCTGGGCTGGGGATTTAGCTCCATGGCGCCATGCCTGCCTTGGAATTGCAAGGTCCTTAGTTTGATCCCCAAGCGTGGTGGTGCACTCCTGTAATCTTAACACTTAGGAGGCTAAGGCAGTAGGATCACTTAAGAGTTCAAGGCCAGCCTAGGCTACATAGTGAGACTGTCTCTAAATTAAAAAATAAATAAAAATAAAAAAAAATAAGAATAGAAGCAAACAAATAGACTTATGAAAGTGGGAGTACACTATCCAGTGGTTAAGAGTTTTCTGAGGAGGATTATACAGCTGGAAAAGTTGATGAAAACTATACATTCTCCTAGGAAATACAGGGCACGTGCAATTTTGCATACACCCCTGGGAGTTCATGGAGTTCAGATTAAGATGTCTCTCTGCAGAGAAAAAGCATTCAAGGAAAAACAGGCAAAAATCAGCTCTTCAGGCAGACAAGTCAGTCTTGCTCACAATCCACCAATGGGTTGGAGAAGTATAATAGAACCGAGGATGCACAGCAAAAGAAACCACCAACAGAGTGAAGAGACAACCCACACAGTGGGAAAAAGTTTTATCAGCTACTTCTCAGACAAAGGACTGATATCTATTTTTTTTCTGGTACTGGGGATCGAACTCAGGACCTTGTGCTGGGGAGGCAGGCATTGATACCACTAAGCTAAATCCCTAGCCCAAGGATTGATATCTAGAATAAAGAACTCAAAAAAATCAGAGCCCCCCAAATTTAAAGACTCAAACAAAAAATAGGCATCTGAAATGAATAGATACTTCTCAGATGAAGTACAAACAGCAAATAAATAAATGAAAAAATGTTCAACATCACTCGTCATTTGAGAGATGCAAATTAAAACAACGCTGTAACTCTGAAATTCTATCTCACCCATTAGGTTTATAAAGACAGAAAACATCACATGAAAGGAAAGAACAATTTTTGCCTCACACATGCTTGGCAAGCACTGTATTACTTAGCTATATTCTCCACTCCAAATTATTTCTAAAGTTTTTATTTAAGTGCAAAGGTGCTAAGGATGACTAAAACACTCTTGAAGAACAAGGTGGAAAAAATTGCTCTACTAGATATGAAGACTTACAAAGCTACAATAATTTACACAGTATATTTTTGGTTTAAGTACAGAGCAATGAAAGAAATGCGACCTAGAAATGGAATCTTCCACAGACAGACACTTTGCTTATCACAAACATGGCTCCGCCAAGCACAGCGAACAGGAAGACTATGACAGAACTAGAGGTTCCATTTGACTGAGCTACTCCAAACCTTCTTGGTATTTTCTCAAGAGTTAAAAGCATCATACCCAGTGATAAATACACATCCATGTGTAAGGTCAGACTGAGGCACAATTGAGACCACCGAGGCGGGCAAAGTCTAAGCCACATGCCATGAGTTTACTGCCATCTGGGTGCAGATGGGCCAAGGGCGAGAAGGCCATTGGCACTCAGAGGAGGGTGCTCGTGGTTGATACGGGGCATTTTAGGTAGGGGAGAGGTCACTGCTCAAGAGGGTGGAAACTTTTAGAGTCCGGTGGGTGATGGGCCTGGGGCTGGCTGATAAGCAGGAAGGTGGTGAGAACAACAGGGCTGCCAAAGGCTTGTTATCTCTGTGCTCCTGTAGATTCGGGTAGCGGGTCTGCCTGGGCGGGGGTCCAACTCGGGGGACCTGTCACCATGTTTATAGCAGCACAATTTGTAATAGCTAAATCTTCGAAACAGGCCAGATCCCCACCAACAGATGAATGGATAAAGAAAATGTGCCTTTTACGTACTATGGAGTACTGCTCTGCCATAAAGAAGGATAAACTTGAGACATTTTTAGGTAAATGGATGTACCTTGAGACCATACTTTTAAGTGAAATAAATTTGACACACATATTTAAATATTGCATTGTCTTCTTTGAGAAACCAAAAGTATAAATAAAGACCAAAACAGATGACAGATATTGGGAAGGAGGAAGAAAATGTTCAAATGAGAACGGGAACAAGGGAGGGTGGAGGAGGAGGGGAAGGAAAGAAAAAAAGACAATAGAAGGAAAAAAATGGAAACAAAGTTTTTTTTGTTTTGAGACAGGGTCTCACTATGTAGTTCAGGCTGCCCTCAAACTTGAAGTGATCCTCTTGCCTGAGCCTCCCAAGTAAGTGCAGGGATTACAGGAGTGCACCACTGTGCCTGGCTGAAAAAAAAAAAAAAAAAAATATATATATATATATATGCATATTATTTGAAGCACTGAAGTTCAAGACAGCTGGGCATGGTGGCGCGTACATATAATCCCAGCACTGAGCCAGGAGGATCACAGAGGCCAGCCTGGGTTATAGAATGAGTTCAAGGTTGGCCTGAACTACATAGTGAGATCCCGTCTCAAAAACAAAACAAAAAAAACAAAACCACATTTGGGGCAAAGAATGATCTTCAGCAGCCAGGAAACGGGTCATTTCACCTTCAGGTGATCATTCTTATTCAAACCCAATTAAAAAGGTCGATGTGAAAAGGTGTCATTAATTTACTTGTGAGCTGCTGAACTTGCTGGGTCCAGATCTTGGAAGAGTGATGATCCATGAATGCCCAAGCAGCACCAATCAAGACACTAAACTTTTAAAAGTCAAGTCTACACCGATTTTTATTTTTTTTCTTTGGGATGACTGGGATTTTAAAATCCTTTGAAAAAACAACATGAAAACGAAATCAACAGGTAATGATATTCACTGGTTCATTTAGGGTACTTCTTTCAACCACTGAAAACTGACCACACGAGCAACCGTGGGATATAACTAAGAAAGAAATTATTCTAAAGGGAGCAAGGCAGCTTGGCTGAAGCATGAAAATCTCAAGTTCGGGCCCAGCCTGCACAGCTTTGCGAGTCCCTATTTAAAAAATAAATAAAGGGCCTGGTTGGAGGCCTGCAAGAGAAACCTGAAGGGCGGGAATGAGGCGGTGACCGGTTCCCTGCGGTCCCCTGGTAATGGGTCGCTGCGGCGCGCTAGTGACGGCAGCTCAGGTGGCATAGGCCGCGGAGGCCTCAGGGCCCGGACACACAGAGCCCGGCTCTGTCTGTGCTGCAATGGCTGCCGCCACAGCCGTGGTCACGCCGTTGGGTTTGGAGGATGGGGTGACTCGGTCTCATGGCGAAGGGGCCGGGGAGGTAGTGGTGGAGCGCGGGCCCGGCATGGCGTACCGCATGTTCGTGGTGATGGAGGACTTGGTGGAGAAGCTGAAGCTGCTCCGCTTCGAGGAGGAACTCCTCCGGAAGAGCAACCTGAAGGCCTCGTCCAGACACTATTTTGCTCTCCCTACCAACCCTGGTGAACAGTTCTACATGTTTTGCACTCTCGCTGCTTGGCTGATTAACAAAGCAGGACGTCCCTTTGAGCAGCCTCAAGAGTATGATGATCTTTGCAATGATATCGAACATATCTGAACTTCAATCATTTGGGAGAACTGCAGATTTCCCCCCTTCAAAATTAAAGTCAGGTTATGGAAAGCATGTATGCTATGTTCTTGATTGTTTAGCGGAAGAAGCATTAAAATATATTGGTTTCACCCGGAAAAAGCCAGCATATCCAGTGGAAGAAGTAGAAGAAGAAACTGTTCCAGAAGATGATGCAGAATTAACATTAAATAAAGTGGCAAGAGAACGATACCAGCAGGGAAGTGATGGAGTCACAGAAAGGACCAGACTCCTGGCTGAGGTTACAGAAGAATTAGAAAAGGTAAAACAAGAAATGGAAGAAAAAGGCAGCAGCATGACTGATGGTGCGCCTTCGGTGAAGATTAAACAGAGCTTAACAAAACTAAAGCAAGAAACCATTCAGATGGACATTAGAATTGGTGTTGTAGAACACATATTGCTCCAATCAAAACTGAAGAAGTCCAACATGACTAGGGACACGTATGCAACAATTATTCCAGAATCAACAATAGGTTAATAAAAAAATAACTGGTTTTCATGCTTCTGATTAGTTGCTTTTTAATCAAATTATATTTAATACTGCATAGATTCTGAAACACAATTATACTTCTTATAGCATGTTCAATGGGTATTTTTGGATATTATACACACATAATCATGTTAAAAAAATAGTAATAAAATAAAATTAAAAAGGGGTAGGGATGGAGTCAGCGTGAAGGCCCTGGGTTTAATCCCCATCCCCGGGGGAGGCGGGGAGAGCGAAGCGTTTGTCCCCCGGGAGAAGGGGTCGGGACAGATGGGAGACGCGAAGTTGAAGTTAGGGGTAAGGAGCGCGAGGGAGTCTGGGCAGAAACCAGGAAGGCGGGAGGAAGAAGGGGACAGAACTGAAACCCTGGTGAGCGAGGTGGCGGCGGCGCGGGGGAGCCCGGGGGACGCCAGATCGCCAGGGCCGCGCGCAGAGGGGCTTCAAACTCGCCGACCCACGGCGACCCTTACCGACAGGTCGCCCCTCACCTGGACGGGGTAGAGTTCGCGCGGCAGCAACCCCTGCAAGTCCAAGAACAGGGTGATGGGGATGTGGGACAGGAAGTAGAAGCCTAACACGTACTCCAGGCATCGCCGGGCGCTCACAGCCCCCATGACGCGTCGGCTGGGCAGAGAGAAGCAGACACGTAAGCCACCAGGACCCCAGACCGGCCCTGAGCTCGCGCGCCAAGCAGGACTTCGCCCTGCCGCCCCGCCCCCTTGAATCACGCAGGCAGTTCCCATTGGCTGGCGAAGCAAAGGAGGCGGGAGGACACCGCAGGACTCATCTCAGAGCGCGCCCATTGGTTCCTCTGAGTACAGCCCCTGGGGCGAACGTGCTCTGCAAACTTTCCATTGGCTTCCGGGAGCGCCGCGTGAGGGGGGCGGGCCCAGCACGTCGGTGGGCGTGAGCGCGTAGATCCGGGCACCTGGAGAAGTGCGGCGGGCGTCTCGGTGCGGATTGGGCGGTGTACTGGGCTGCCCGCCGGATGCCTCTCACTCGTCGAACCTTTCACCTATTTCATTCTGTTCCATTTACCAGCGGTGTTATGTGCAGGGCTCTGGGGCTTATGGAGCTGGAGCTTCCTATGTTGTGGGAGCCCGGCAGGCCAGGCTTTTCATGATACACGTTGTCCGCAAGATCCCGGTCCGACGAGAGTTGAGGGCCCCGGGAAGCCTCGCGAAGCATGAAAAGGGCTAGCCAGCCTCGAGAGAGAAGCAAAGGGGACCAACTCGGGGGATATGGTAGGGGTAAAATTGGCAGGACTTGGTGATTGGCAGAGGAGAATGAGAGAGGAGCAAGGACTGACTCAAATCTCATTCAGGAAATACTGATCTTTATTCTGGGGCCAGGTCGGCTTGGGAGATAGATTGGTCCCGTTAGAACAAGTTCAAGGGAAGGTAATTCAGTTTGGGCCTTGACACTTAGCTGTCCTGCAGCACCTGGGTGGAGAAGCCTAATAGGCAGTTGGATGAACCTGCTGGACTAGATTTGGGAGTCATTAGCATTTGATGGAAGTTGAAGTTTTGAGAGCAGAGGGTCTGAAAGATCTAGAGGAGCTCCAACCTCAGGGGTCATGGGAGGAGGAGGAGAGTGATTTCACAGGAAGGAGGGCAAGGGGAACTGTGTTAGGGCAACACTGGGTAATGCCCACTATTGGTTCTGTTGAGAGCAGTTGTGATGGGGGCAGGAGCCTGATGGCAGCAGAGTAAGAAGGGGAAGGGAAGCAGGAAGTGTAGACATCTGGTCATGAAGGAGAGAAGAAATGTGCTCAGGAAGGTGTCATTTATTTTTCAGATCAGAGAGACTTGAGTTTGTTTAGGACTCTTTGTGGTCTGGAGAGAAGTTTCCATAGAGAAAGAACAGCAGGAAATATGTCTGAAGGCCTCTAGGAGGTGGAGGGAAGGCAAGGATTTGGGTTAGGTTGGGTGGGCTGTGTGTTACTAGGGATTGCTGGCAGTGCTGAGGTGGGTGGCCTTTCATCTGGAAGCTCAGTCTCCTAGGCTGTGCTTTTCTGCAGTGTTGGGTCTGCTCAGGAAAAGGCTGTTGGCCTCATCCCAAAGTGGGGTTCAGGAAGACAAATGTGACTTTGAGGAGCTGAACATCAGAGTGGCTGAAGTGATGGAGCATGCAATTTGAGCTGGATGAGGAGAAAGATGTGGGACTACAGGGGACTGGGGAGTGGGAGAAAATGGAGAAGTGAATGAAGTCAAGGCCCTACCAAGGAAGCCATGGAAGTGTATGATATCAGTGGGCCAGGAGCTTGGGAGATTAGGATGAGGTTACAGTGTCTACATTCCTGGTGTGAGAAAGAGATTCTGCTTGGAGGATATGGCCATGATGGAATGAAAGGCAGGTCTTTAGAGATGAGGTCAAGAGACAGAACCCATGGAGCCCTTATATGTAAGGGGAATAATCAGGAGGAAGGTGTGTGTGGGCTGAGGTGTGCCTTAGCCTCGGGGAGTGGAGGGGGAAGTGTGGACACAGCCTTGGTGAGCAGGGAGGCAGCTGGGCCTGATTTTGAAGAGAAAATGAATAGCCTGCTCCAGAGAGGGCTGTGGGGAAACTTGAGTCCTGCGGAGGTGACAGCTGATGTCCTGGTAGTGGGGTGGATGAGGAGGAAAGGGTGTTTATCAGGGGTGGAATCAACAGGTGGAAGGAGACATAGCAGTAGAGGAACCTGGAGGTTCCCTCAGGGTTGTGGAGTAAGAGGTGAACAGCATGGGGGGCTGAGCATATGAGGGCACAGTTCTGACGTTTCAGGTGAGCCTTGCCCAGGACCTCAGAGGTGGCAGCCAGGGTGCAGAGGTGTTCAGTGCTGCTCTTCCTATTCCCCAGGGGATTATATCCAGGGGAAAGAACTGCTTCCCCTCCACAGAGGCTGAGGCAGACGACAGAACCAGCTGCTGTTTTTTGGAGGTGGGGTGGGGGGAGCCAGTGCCTGAGGAACCTTACTTAGGTCACCTGGGGAAAGAATGTGTTAAGATGTAAGCCTTTCAAGGCAAGTGGCTCCTGCCTGCCTGCCACCCCAGACTCCTTTTCCAGACCATGCATTTGGAAGAGAATATGAAGAGCTGGGAGGACCCTTCCAGATAATCTAGGCCCCAGTACCTCATGAAGAGGCTAAGGCTCAGAGGGATACTTGTCCCAGATCACAGAGTGAGTAGAAATCCAGTGTCCTAGCCCCTAACCCCAGCTCTTCCCAGGCACTGAGTAGTGTTTAGGTCAGGTCTTCTATCCTTGGGCAGGGCAGCGTCCTCCCTGACAAGGCCCCTCCAGATCAGGCCCAGGGCCCAGAAGCCTGGCCAGCCTAGAACCTTCTGTGCCTGGCTGTACTCAAGGGCCTGGAAACAGTGCACACATACCCCTCCTTCCCCCTTACTGGCTTTAAGGACATAGTGGCACCTGTTAATGTGTGTGGAGTACAGATCCGTGGACTCCTTGTTGACCGTCACTGCTTGCTGGAGGAAGGAGCTGGGTAAGTGCACAGCTGTCCATGTGCTGCAACCAAACCCCAGTCAAGTCTGTAATCTGTAGATAAAGGTTTTCAAGGCCTCACACATGGATGGCTTGTACATCTAAAATAATCTCCAGGGCTGGGGATTTAGCTCAGTGGTTCCACAGCCTGCCTCAGAAGCACAAGGTCCCGAGTTCGATCTCTGGTACCAAAAATAAATAAATTAAAAATATTTTAGGGCCGGGGATTTAGCTCAGTGGTTTTGCTGCCTGCTGCGCAAGCACAAGGACCCGAGTTCAATCCCTGGTACCAAAAAAAAAAAAAGAATAAATTTTAAAAATAATTAATTAATTAAGAATATTTTAGGGCTGGGGATTTAGCTCAGTGGTTCCGCCACCTGCCTCGAAAGCACAAAAACCCGAGTTTGATCCCTGGTACCAAAAAAAAAAAATCTCCAGCTGCTCTCTTCAGTTTGAAATTCCTTTAGTGGGAGAACTGGGTTTTTTTTGTTTTGTTTTGTTTTGTTTTGCTTTTGGTACGGGGGTCGAACTCACGACCCTGCGCTTTTGAGGCAGGCGCCAGAACCACTGAGCTAAATCCCCAGCCCTGAGGTTTTTGTTTTTTGAGACAGGGTCTCCCTAAGTTGTCCAGCCTGACCTTAAACGTGATCCTTCTGTCTCAGCCTGCTGAGTGGTTAGATTACAGGCATAGGCAGCATGGCTGACCTGACGATTCTTGATTCTTTTTTTTTTTTTCCGGTACGGGGGATCAAACTCAGGACCTTGTGCTTGCAAGGCAAATGTGGTGCCACTGAGCTAAATCTCCAGCCCCTGAGGGTTCTTAATTTGATGTCAGATCGATCTTAGGATGAGTGGAGGCCATGACTAATCCATCTTTCAAAGCATGTGTTCAGTGACCCCAGGATTCTGGGAGAATTGCAAGTTTGAGCCCAGTCTGGGCAACTCAGTGGCTTATCAAGACCCTGTCTCAAAAAAGAAAGGGTAGGTGGGTGGGGCTACAGCTCCATGCAAAGGGTTCAATTTCTCTTTGTGTGTGTGTGTGTGTGTGTGTGTGTGTTTTGAGACAAGGTCTTGCTATGTAGTCCAGGCTGGCCTTGAACTCTCATTGATTCTCCTGCCTTGGTCTCCCAAGTGCTGGGATTACAGGCATATGCCGCCATGCCAGCTCAAAGGGTCCAATCTCAGTAGTGAAGAAATAAAACAAAAACAAACCCCCAAACTTCCCTCTCTTTATAAGAACCTTTTTCGGGCTGGGGATTTAGCTCAGTGGTTCTGCCACCTGCCTCGAAAATGCAAGGACCTGACCGAGTTCCATCCCCGGTACCCTCCCCCAAAAAACCTTTTTGCAAATACTGTTGAGACACCCTCAGCCCCAACAGTGGCCCTCATGGTGGTGCAAAGGGAACTCTACCAGCAACTACGGAAAGCTCTTCTCTGTGCTTTTGCTTCACTTTCATCTCTACTTAAAATACATCCACCCTTCTTACCCCAACCCTGCCCCCCTCTCCTCATCCTTGTCTATTGTCAGGCCCAGAGGAAGACCCCTGCCCCCACTGTCTCTACTCAATGACATTTGCACATGTGAACCTCTGTGGTACTCTCTAAAGGTTTGTCCTGTTCCACTCTGAGCACGTCTCTGGACATGTTTCCCATCAGACTTTAGGTTCCTTCAAAACAGCCTGTGCCTTATGTATCTCGATTTTACTGACACAAAGCTGGAATCATTGCTGAGTGAGCTAAATGGGAAACTACTCCTCTGTTGCAGCAGATTGTCACCTAGTGCAGTGAACACAGTGTAAGAACAGCCAGCCAGGCAGGGCACGATGGACACAGGTCAAACTTGCAGAGGCTGGGGCACTATGGAAAATGGTAAGACCTGGAAAGCTGCTGTGGCTCCAACCCACAGATGGCTGCATACCTCAAAACCAAACATTAGGTGTTCACTCACCAAAGCTAAGGTTCTGTCAGTGTGGACGGCTCAGCAAGGAGGCTGTGGGGACTCAGAACTGTCTCTTGAGGTCTATGGGAGTACGGAGGTAGCTGACCACCTGGCTTGGGCTGTCTTGAGCAGTCACTTGTTTTCATGGCAAAGAATCCATGAACATGGGCAGAGGGGCAGAGAAGGTGGCAATCAATTTATAAAGATAAACCTGTGTTTAAATTTGGGCATTTTGTCCACAGATCTTTTGACAATGAATTAGATTCATAAAAACTGCATTACAAGTTACCCTGGTTACTGAGT